CCCCAGTTTCATGCAGAAAATGATATTTTTTTCTTTCTTTTGCCTTCTTTAGTTTATCTATTTAGTAGTCTATTTTTTTGCATTACAGGTGTAATACCAAATTGGTGGATATGGGGTTATTGGGTTTCACCATTAACATATGGGTATAATGCTTTAGCTGTCAATGAATTTCTGGCTCCCAGATGGATGAATAAAATTGTAAGTGATATTACCCTTCACATATGGTACTATAAATGATATTATTTGTGTATAAGATGAACTAGGATATATGTTTTGTTATAAATATCAAGGACAAAGGCGGAATTGCCCCCCCCCCCCCCACCAACCAACACAAACACATACCCCCCCCCACCCCCACAAAAAAAAAAATGATTATATGATTCTTTATGAAATTTGTCCTCATCCATCTATTTTTTAGTCTTTATTACAAGGGTCTTTAGGCAATTGCCCCCCTAAAAGTTTTAGAATACTATGGTCTTTAGGCAATTGTCCCAACATAATTAAACACATTATGTAGAGATGTTATTAATAGGGAACGATGAACCAAATACAAAGAGAAATAGTAAAGAAAATCCAAAAATATCCTTACAACCAAAATTTATTCCGAAGGAGTTGCCTCCGGAAACCCCCGCAAGGGCGCTGCCCCTTGACCCCCGTGAGATCGAACCCCGCAAGGGGGCAGCATCCCCGGAATAAATTTTGATTGTAAAGATATTTTTGAAAAAAAAAAATATCTAAACTTTTACTTATAAATTTGCCCCCCTTGAAAATTGATCCTGGTTTCGCCCTTGATCAAGGACTGGTCACTCTCTTGCTAATAAGGGTGATAAACACACTTACAGGTAACTGAAACAGATGGCACAGTTAAAAGTCTGGGCATTGCTGTTCTAGAAAGTGCCTCCGTCTTCCCAGAAAAAAAATGGTACTGGATTGGAGTTGGAGCAGTCTTTGGATTTGCTATCCTGTTCAATGTGCTTTTCACTCTTGCACTATCATATCTTAGTCGTAAGTTGACCTATGCTTTTTAAGTGAACCTTCTAAATTGTGTATAGTTCAACTTAGCTTTTCTAATTTAAGTTCAACTTTTGCTCGGTGACAGCTCTTGGAAAGCCACAAGCTACAATATCTGAAGAATCAGAAGAAAATATGGAAGATAGTTTTGATGAAATTATGGGAAGTTCTAAAGAAAGAATGTTGGGTGCCAACAAAGACCATTTGCATCATGAATTATCGACAAAGGATAAAGCAAATAAAAGTATGATGTTATTATGTCATTTCTTATCATGATTCAGAGAATGTCGAGAATTTATATGTTTTAGCGTAATGTAATCAATATTTGAGTCTCGGATGTCTTTTTTCTACTTATTTCAGGAGAAATGATGGATATGAATATGAATCGTAACTCATCCACTGGCCTCAATGGAGGGTCATCTGTTAATGGGGTTAAAGGGGTTGCTCCTAAGAGAGGAATGGTTCTTCCGTTCACACCATTAGCAATGTCTTTTGATGAAGTAAATTACTATGTTGACATGCCTCCGGTGAGCCTCATCTCCTCCTTTACCCTCAATCTTTTATTTCTTTCTAAATTGTAATAACATAATTTTATTATTTTCTTCGTTAAAGAATCAGAAATGTAAATGTTTACGGTCATTCTATTTACTTATCCTTCTAGGAAATGAAAGACCAAGGAGTACCTGAAGATAGACTCCAGTTGTTAAGGGGAGTGACTGGAGCTTTTCGCCCTGGAATCTTGACAGCCCTTATGGGAGTAAGTGGGGCTGGAAAGACTACACTAATGGATGTTTTGGCAGGAAGAAAGACTGGCGGTTACATTGAAGGCGATATAAGAATCTCTGGTTACCCAAAGTTACAAGAGACTTTTGCTAGAGTTTCTGGTTATTGTGAACAAAATGATATCCATTCTCCTCAAGTTACCGTGAAAGAGTCATTGATATACTCTGCCTTCCTCCGTCTTCCCAAGGAAGTAAGCGACGAAGAAAAGATGGTGAGCATCTATGCTTTAAGAATTTTAATGTAATCTTTGAAGGGACATATTTTAATCAATTTGATTTTGTAGTGTCATTCATCTTTCACAGGGAACATGTCTGGTAAGATAGTTTAATCTGTAATCTGATCATCTTAATGATATTTTCCCTCTTCAGAAATTTGTGGATGAAGTTATGGAGTTGGTGGAACTTGAAAAACTCAAGGATGCCATTGTTGGCCTTCCAGGAGTTACAGGGTTGTCAACAGAGCAACGAAAGAGGTTAACAATAGCTGTAGAGCTTGTTGCTAATCCTTCCATAATCTTCATGGATGAACCTACTTCAGGTTTGGATGCAAGAGCTGCGGCTATTGTTATGAGAACTGTAAGGAACACGGTTGATACAGGAAGAACAGTTGTTTGTACGATTCATCAGCCTAGTATTGACATTTTTGAAGCATTTGATGAGGTGAACAAATCAACATAAAATATTTCTCTTCATTTTATTTTCTAGTATAGATGTTTAAATGAAATCGAGAAATCAAATTAGCGGTTTATGAAAATTCTTCTTTTATCTTTTGTTAGATAAAAATTTCTATCAATTTTTATTTGAAAGTATATTTTCTTTTTCTTTTGAGCAGTTGTTACTGTTGAAGCGAGGAGGCCAGGTTATATACTATGGACCATTGGGCCAAAATTCCCAAAAGATGATTGAATATTTTGAGGTGCGCAGATTAATTAATTTACCCATAAATTATTTTCATATACTGAATGATGAGGCATGTTGGTTTATAATTATACAAAATTAGCATATAAATCTTATTTTAAGATTGTTGTGAAAAATACCACCAACATGTTAAGAAATTCATGCTTCCAGGCAATTTCTGGAGTACCAAAAATCAAGGACAAATACAATCCTGCAACATGGATGTTGGAAGTAAGTTCTATTGCTGCTGAAGCACGCCTTGGAATGGATTTTGCTGAGTACTACAAAACATCAGCTTTGCACCAGTAAGTGAAAACCTACTTTCAATTACATAAACTTCTTACACCAAATTTTGAAAGAAAATCCTGGTCCTCTCCATCAAATAAGCATTTGTTGCCAAGAGTTAAGCATTGATTGTAGGCAACTCACACATTGTTATGTTTAATTCAACTATGACAGGAGAAATAAAACACTGGTTAATGATCTCAGTAAGCCAGATCCGGGTTCAAGTGATCTCTATTTCTCCTCGACATATTCTCAATCTTTATACGGGCAATTCAAATCCTGTCTTTGGAAGCAGTGGTGGACCTACTGGAGGAGTCCTGACTACAATCTAGTCAGATTTTGCTTCACTTTGTTCACTGCTCTACTTCTAGGAAGTATCTTTTGGAGGGTTGGAAACAGAAAGTATATTTGTTAATATCCCAACATTCATCAATCACTGAGGCTTTGTTTGTGATGGTTACTGCTTTTTAAAATAGCTTTCTTGTACAAATGTTAAAATTTTTGTACTCGAAAGCTGCTTTAAGAAGCAGTAAGAAAGTTGTCCCAAATAAAGCTTAAGTCGCTTTCTTCTCTGGATTCTTATAACTTTTTGTTTTGTGCAGAGGTGATGCAAATGATCTTCGTATTGTGATTGGAGCAATGTATGCAGCAGTTTTATTTGTTGGGGTGAATAATTGCTCAACTGTGCAACCAGTCGTTTCAGTCGAGAGGACTGTATTCTATCGAGAGAGAGCTGCGGGAATGTACTCTGCCTTGCCTTACGCTCTTGCTCAGGTGAGGGAAATGTTGTGAATTCATATTTGGTTTAAAATGTTCTCTAGCTTAAAAAACATGCAAACATATTAATATCCACATATAGGATTGACATTATTCGGCTTCGTTTGGGACGGCTTTTTTATTGCTTCTTAAAACAGCTTTTTAGTAAAAAATTGAAATTTTTGTACTTAAAAGCTGCTTTAAGAAGCAGCAAAAAAAACTGTCTCAAATAAAACCTTCAAATCATAATCTAACATAACTTCACAATTTTATGCAGGTTGTGGTAGAAATTCCATACGTTGTAATCCAGGCAGCGTATTACACACTCATAGTGTATTCCATGATGAATTTTGACTGGACGGCTTCAAAGTTTTTTTGGTTTTATTTCATTTCGTTCTTCTCCTTCCTCTACTTCACCTTCTATGGGATGATGACAGTGTCGATCTCACCAAATCATCAAGTTGCTGCCATCTTCGCTGCAACATTTTATTCTCTCTTCAACCTTTTCTCTGGCTTTTTCATTCCAAAACCTGTAAGCTACGCACTCCCACTCCATAATTATAATATTTGTTCTTGAAAAAACTTGCTAACAACATATTAATATCAATCATTTGTCTTATGATGTTTTGACTTGCAGAAAATTCCCAAGTGGTGGATCTGGTATTACTGGATTTGCCCTGTGGCATGGACTGTTTACGGGCTAATAACAACCCAATATGGCGATTTAGATCACAATATCCAAGTTCCTGGGCAAGGTCTGGTACCAATCAAAACCTATGTTAAAGAACACTATGGTTATCACACAGACTTCATGCCTGTTGTGGCTGTTGTGTTGGTGGGTTTCTGTGTATTCTTTGCCTTCACCTTCGCTTTCTGCATCAGGACATTAAATTTCCAGCAGAGGTAAAGGCAAGAGATGTAGAGATCATAATATTTCCAGTTGGAATTTTGTATAATCTCCACATATCAACTTTTTTTTTCTTTTGGCTGTCTCAATTTGCTGTACATATGGATTTAGAACGAAGCAGACAGTACCAAGATCTTGAGTTTTGTTGAAATTAACGGATCTTGTTATCCGGGCAATATCCGGTTTGATGTAGAATTTCTAAATTTTTTTATATAGGTCAATTTACTGCTTCAAATATGGTCAGAAGGGAAAATAATGTTCAGTTGTCTTATTTGGGTTAATTATTTGATCGCCTTTTTAAATCTGCTTCTACCTTTTTTAATATAAGTCAAATCTAATACATCTACTCTCCTAACCAGGTGATTACAAGGCTGATATTTTATGTGACCAAATCATCTAAGGCGACCCTCTCTAATCTTATCTTCCACTAGAGTTACTCTAACCTTTTCAAATTATGCTCGTTTCGTATCATGTCTCTATTAGTAAAACCACTCATCCACTTGAGCATCCTCATCTCTACATCATTTAATATCATGTTTAACATTCTGCACCATAAAACATAACGGGTCTCACCACCATCTTATAGAATTTATTCTTAAATTTGAGAGGGACTTTTCTATCACACAACAAGTCTAATGCATTCCTCCACTTCAACTATCCAACTTAAATTCTACTAATAATATCTCCATCTATTTCACCATCACTCTAAACAATAGACTCAATATATCTAAAATGTGTAATCTTATTAATGACTTAATCGCCCAAAGTCATATTGTTAGCATCATTGCTCGTCAAATTCCGAAACTCTAGGCAACAAAGAATAGTTGTGGAGGTTGCTGGTTACACAGTCAATAAATCGTAAAGGTTGATTGTTTATGGCGAATGATGATGTGTGAAGGTCTATCGATAATGATGAAGAAGAGTTGTAAAAAATATGATGACATCTCATTGACAACAAGATAAAAGTCATGTGAAGTTTGATGTTAAAGAAGATGTGAGAGCATCACAAAGGGATCTCATTGGAAAGAGCATCGAAAGCACTAAAGGCAAGCAAAGGAGAAGCCTTTGATAGAAATTAATGGTAAGATAGTATCTTGCATGCCCGAGAATCTAATTTGAATATATTTTTATCTTTTAATAATAACAATCAGAGTTATCTAATTTATTTCAATAATAAAATACTATTTGAAATAAATATGCTTATTAAAATACCAATATAATCTAAGTTTATTACCCAAAAATCATATACATACAATATATTATATGTCTACTTCTAAGCTCAAAAGAACAACTAAAAGACAAAACAACAGTGAAACTTGAAGAATCTTGTATCTGATTAGCCTCATACTCTCGAACATCTTCCTTGACCTGAAATCACTAAATCTTATCTATTGAGCTTATAAAGCCTAGTAGGTTACTAAATCACTACTACTGAACCCAAAGCACGGAAAAGAAATAATATGCATGAAATCATTTAGTTCATAATGATAACAAACAATATGAACACGAGTCTAAGCAAGTGCAGAAATAATAATACATGTGCAATAACTATAAAGCTTGTGAGACTGTACAACACAAATGTCGAAACGGCAAGATAGTAAATCATCATCTTAAACCAAACGTCATAGTAGTATTATCCAGACACTAAGTAATTCTTATGAATTAGTAAAGCGGAAGCATATATGAAAACTTTTAGAAATATATGGCAATGCAAGACTATCAAGAAATCATATAAACGTGCACATGATATTCAGTTGGTCTATGTCAGTCTCAAATCAATATTCTAATCACATGCTCAGTAACAGTAAATCAATAACAATGAATCAACAACAATAAATAAGGTTCTTATATACATAATCCAAACAGTCATATTAAACAAGAAAGGAACTTTGGTTTATGTCATGTTTTTTTTAGTATGTGTAGTCAGTATTCAGAAGACTTTCAATAATCAGAGTCATCACTCTTGCTCGTCAGCACAATATTTTCTCCTTATAACTTCCAATCATTAAATCAGGTAAATCAGTCGAGAATATCATTACAAACCATTATATTTAAAAGAAAACTCGTTGGCATATCATACTTATATAGATATAAAACAATATCCAATCAACCTCAATAATAAATCAGCCTTTCTTATTTTTACTCACATAATTTTCTAAAAGTAATAACGAACAACTATTACTCATTCGCATGTCCGTATTTATTCACAATACTTGCATTAACAACATAATTGTATCTAAGTGCCAAAAATCATTATATATTTTATTCATACTCAAATCATATAAAATAAAATAAATAATATTTCAACTAGTGAAAATATAAAACCATCCCGTCAAAATGATCATAATAATTAGTACTACAATACGCACAAAATTATGCAATGGAAGTTCACTAAATCGCGATAAAATGTAATAAAGATTAATTTAGACAAAATAATAAACCCCAAAATCAATATCTTTGAAAACATAGATAAGATAGAATTCACTTACAATGATCAAAATAATTTTTGTAGAAGCAATGAGCGACCAAATGCTCGTTCCTCTCTCCTCTCTCACCTTTGCTTCTTCTCATTCTTCCCTTCATTTCCCGGCAAGCCAAACGAAAGAAATGGCTGAGTGGAGAAAATTTATATTAAAAAAAATCTTTTCAGTGCCTAGTGCCATGACGCTCGAACCCAGTGCTATATGCTCATTCTAAAGTTATTGTACAACAAAAAACATTAGCACCGCCGTGTTGAATTCCAAAGCCTTGGCTTTGCACCCCCATAATCGATGCACTTAAAATCTAACGCTGCAGCGCTGCAATTCAAAATTTTCAAATAAATCCATTTAAGAATTTTGAGTTGTTATAATATTTTTTTGTTATTTAAAATTTTAAGTATTACGCAAGTAAATAGTAAAATTTAGATGTTTAATATGTAAATGAAAAAAAGGAAAGATGACTTTGTGTCTCACAATACTTGAAATCAGATAAATATGCTTGATATTTAATTTCATGAGAAGCATCCAAAAGTCCTGTTACACCTATAATATCCTTTCTTTTCTACTGAAGTACTTTTTTAAGACCTTAGTGGCCCAAATTGATTCAAATATAATTTGAATAAGATTTGATCAAGCTTCAATCAAGACGAAGATCATAGGAGAAAAATCTCGATTCATATTTGATTATTGTTTGAATCATATTTGAACGATATATTTTGATTTGAAGATTGGTTATTGCATGATTTTAATGAGATTCATGCAAAGTTTGAACATGATTCGACTGTATAAACTACAATATAGTATAATCCAATAACTATTTTACATCATAATGAGAAGCGTAACTTCACTTCATCAACATATATAAAATCACAATGAGAATCATTATATTAAGGGGAATATTTGAAATATTTTAAAGTTGTTTGGAAGAGTATAAAGTAGATGCAGGCAATTACATTTTTTTATTTAACTTAAAAGTAAAATGAATGCAATGTTAAGCCTAATAATTATGGTGGTTGATTGCCGGTGATAGCAGTTGGTAGCAATAAAAAGGATTTAGTAAATTCTATAAATATGATATTACTAAATTCTAAGTTTATCAAATCCTAAAAATTGATTGACAAAAACGATACTAAATTCTATGAAATTGTTTGGTAATGCAATACAGTATTTAAGAAAAAACTCAAATTTAATGCTTTTTAAATTTAATATATGTTCTAAATATTACTTATTAATTTTAATTATCATCAATAAGTTACAATTATAAATAATACAATTAAAAAATAACTTAATTATCAAATAATTGAATTATTGGTATACTATTAATGATCTAATTTCTTATTTAAGTATTATTTCAATAAATATTTGATTAATAACCGCGCTAAGAATTATTTAATTAATTTTTGAAATAGCTAATTATTTAATTATCACTTACATTATCAATTATTTAAGTATTTTTAATAGATTTTAATTATTAATTATAATTAGTCGTTTAAGCAATCTATTTCTAGCCCGGTAATCTTCTGTGCCATGGGCTATTTCAACTGTATAGCTTCTCTTCTGGTAGCCTTAGGCCTGTCGAGGGTTTGCTTTTCCTCTTCTCCATTTCTTCGTTCGTTGCTGTTCGACTTCGCGTGTGAAGTAGAGTTCTGATTTCTGAACGAGTCGCTAAAAGCTCCTTCACCTCCGTCGACGACGTTCCCCCCCTGTTGGATCGCAACGTTCTTCCTGCTGGGTCGAAGGTAACCATCCTTCTCCCCTTTCGCGCGTTTCTTCGGCCAAATCCCGTAAATCCGCCGAACTACAGGGGAATTTACGGCAAAAAGAGGATTTAATTTGCCGTGAGATTTTTAAGATGTCCACTTTTTGCGTTTGGACTGGATTTACCTCAAATCTTCCTTTAATCATGCGTAAATACTGCTACCAGACGTCCTCTTAGGTTTATAAGTTTAGATGATCTACAAGATTAGCTATTTCTACACGATTATATTGAGCAACTATTTTCAAATGATTGGAGGTTTGGTACATCAACCCTTCCGTAAACTCATAATTGATTGGAGCCTCATCTGCTAGATATGCCTTTTATATATTTTTTATGATAATCAATTCGTATTCAATAATAGTTGATTACTAATCTTAATTATTGCACTTCACTAATCATGCAATTAATTTAATCATGCTAACACAAGTTAAACTAATTATCCAACTAAAGGTTATTAGCTCATTCAACTATTAAGCTTGTAATTAGTTTTGTAGGTTCATTTGTATACAACTATGGCTCTGTAGCTAAAGATTATATCAGAGATCGATTGCTTTTCATGATTTGAGGGACTATTATGTTTAGAAGGTGTAGGGTAGATGTGATCACAACCTTACAAGGGTCTTGATCATGGTTTTAAGTTTCGGCACAATTTTTGCTGGGACCTATAAAAAATTGGTCCTTTTTTCTTTTCTTAAGGGCTTCATGAGTTTTGGTTAAACCTGTGAATTTCAGTTCGAACTTGAGAGTTTTCTAATATTCATCAGTTTGCACGAGTTATGGCCAAATTTTTGTTGGAACTCTCATGCAATTGTCAAAATCATATGAAAATTAATCATTCTAACATTTTAGATATCTTGGATCTATTGTTCAGAATGATGGTGAAATAGATGGGGATATTGTCAGCAGAATTCAAGCTGGATGGTTGAAGTGGAGGAATGCATCGGGCTTGTTGTGTGATAGAAAAGTACCCCTCAAGTTTGAGGGAAAATTCTATAAGATGGTAGTGAGGCCTACAATGCTTTATGGTGCTGAATGTTGGCCATTAAAGAGAAGCATAATACTAAGTTAAGTGTGGCAGAGATGAGGATGCTCAGGTGGATGAGTGGCTTTACCCTTAGAGATAGGATACAAAATGAGCATATATGTGAAAAGGTTGGAGTAGCTCCAGTAGAAGATAATATTAGAGAGAGTCGCCTTAGATGGTTTAGTCACATAAAACGGCGGCCTTCCAATGACCCGATTAGGAGAGTAGAGATATTAGATTTGACTTATGTTAAGAAAGGTAGAGGCAGACCTAAAAATACTTGGTTAGAAAATATTATGAATGACCTTTCTTTATTAGATTTAAACGAGAATTTGACCTTTAATATGACACAATGGAGAAAAAGGATTCATGTAGCCGACCCCACGTAGTGGGATAAAGGCTTGGTGTTGTTGTTGTTGTGCTCTTATTAACTTTCATATGTTATATCCTGACACCCACTTCTACCTCTACATTCAATGATGGATGGCGTTATAAGTTTCTTATTTCATTACATAAATCATTGGAAATTTTTAAATGAAAAGCCCAAAAAAATGTTGTTCTATCAATTATTAATTTGCAAGGACTAGCCTTTATTTCCTTAATTGATAATTGATAATATCCATTCTAGTAATCTTTCTTTGAGAATATTGATGCACCTTAAAAATGAAAGAGAATGTCATCAATCAGGGGCTAAGGTTATTTATTCTTTATGATAACTTTCTTAGGCTCTCTATAATCTATTTGCAACTTTATATTACCATCTTTGTTTAACTTACAAATAAAAAAAATCACAAAAGCTCCTCTAAGTGACACACTTTACCGAATAAAACTTTTATCTTTTAAATCTTGTAATCTATGTACAAACTTATACTTCCATCTTTGTTCCTTTCAAAAAAGTACAAAAGCTCGTCAAGGTCATGCACTTAATGGAATGAAACTTTTATCTAAAAAATCTTGTAATTGAACCTTTAACTCTTGGTGTTCTTTAATAGTCTTAAGATGTGGCATATTGGAAGTAAGAGCTATTCTAGGTCACAAATCTATGTCAAATTCAATTTCACAATTTGGTGATAACCTTGGTAAAACTTCTCGAAATAATTATACATCATCTTGTGATATTGGCCATCAAATGACTTCAAGTTTTTTATTTAGGACTATACTTTGCTAAATTATGAAAGATAATGAAAATTGAAAGGAAATGGCATGTTTAAATAGATGGCTTCCTCCTATTTGTCAACTGCTTGATTAAAGCAAAACTTAATATAATTATATAGATTGTATTTTATGTTATTTTCATCATGTTATTTTATTTTTTTATGAATTTTAAAGATGTAGTAGTGGTGAATTAAGCAAAACGATTGTCATGCAAATTAGCTATTTCTAGTCACCTAAGTGAGCAAATCAAAGTGAAGGCTTCCACCTCATTAATGCCACATCACCTCTTTAAGTCAAGGTTGGCCCTCCTTCATCAAGAAGATATCAAAATAATGTCTTGATGCATGCATTGAAAGTTATGAAGTGTCTTTTCAAGTTTTATGGCAGATGCATGTACATAAAGAACTTGGCCTCAAGTTACTTCCGCTTGACTGAGCCTCAAGTTACTTCCCCTTGACTGACCCTTCATGTTATGTCTTTTGATTTCCTTATGTTCCAATTTATTGAAATGCTATATATATGTATAGGACATGTAATACCATACTATGATGAATTGAAATCAATTTGAAGAGTTGTCTTCTTTTGGCTTTGGCTTGGTGGCTCTCCTCTCCCCCTTTCCTTTGGTGATGTCAGGCTTATCTATTTATATATAATTATGTTTTCACTTTCGTTTATTGTTTTCTTACATTTACATGTTATCTTGTATTATGGATTTCTCATTTTCAATTCCTTCATCCCGTGCAAAGAATTTTATTTCTTTGTAAGCTTCCTTGACACACCATAATCTATTATCTTACCTTTACACCATTTCTACATGCTTCAAAATCACGTAGCATTCCTATTTCTTATTTTCACCATCCTTTCACACTCTTAACTCATCATTTTTTATCCCTCACTCCATTTTAGGCCTCATAAAGCATTCTCATAGGCTTCACACTCTCAACTAAAACTTCAACTAGTCCAACCCTACTTCAACTCTCAGCCACCATTGGAAGCCTGCCTTCTCAAAGTCCTTTTCATCCAAAGCCACCTCCAGTGGCTTTATTACAACCTCTAGACACCATAAAACATATATCTCTCCCTTCCTTCTACTTAAGAGCCCACTTCTCTTCTCTATCACATTCATTTGCAAGAAGCTTTTTTATTTTCCATGGACTGCTGAGATGAGTACGATATTTGTGCCAATCTCAACTTGGAATTTAAATTTAGGTTTCCTAGGTATCCAAAATCTTATAAGTTCCTCATGGTAGTCTATGGAAGCATGGTGCAAAGATCAGTAGTCCACGCCAAGTATTATATGATTATATCAAACTCATATAGGATAAAGATAATCACAATTTTATGTTGCTATCATCTTAAGCATAGAAGTAGAAAGCAATACAAACGCTTCTAATTCTCATTGTGAAAGCTTAATGCACAAACATCAACTGTATTATGAGTATTTTGTTGGCTATGTGCGTATTAGCTTGCACCAGTTGTTGAGTTTGAGATGGTTGCTAATCCTGTTGCCATTGTTACTGTATTGAACATCTTCTGGTTCAAGAGGTAGGTCCTTTAGATGGCATGGTGCCACAACGAATAACCTGTTGGGTTCTCATAGCTAGTTACTCTTTGGTAATGTGAGAACAATCCTTAACCTTATTGTTATAATCTTGACAATTGAACATTTACCTACTGATAAAAATCTCAATGTTCATTCTTTGTTAGAAAGACTAATTTTGAACATTGAGATGATTACTTTGATGTTTATAGAACTATTTTTTTACTTTAGTGTTCGTTGTCAAAGTTTTTTTCTGTTAAGTTCATTGAAAACCATGCCTATGATGATTTCCTATAGGTAATAGGTTATTTTGTTTCGTTCTTTGTGTCTTTCCAATGATTCTTTGTTTTGATTTTGGCTTGAGTCTCGTTTAAGTCACTATTTCTTCATTGTAGGTTTAATATTTGTTCTTTAGTTTATTAGTTTGTTGCTAGTTCTTTGGTTTGTCAGTTCATTGTGGTTCTCTAATTTGTTGTTACTGAAGTTCAGGTCCGTCAACATCACTAGAATTATTATTGGTAGTTGGTGTAAATGGCATTTAATCACTATTTGCAGATTGTATAGCTAGCGTTCTACAGGATCATTGATTCAATCTCTTATATAATCATCTACTTTTGGTAATATATGATCCTATGTTGCTTCATATTGCTGTTATCGGTTTCCATATCCTATGCAAATTTTTGGTGAAAGATGGATGTGGATTTTCAACTGCTTTTAGATATCATTTGTTTATATCATGGTTGTTGATTTTAGGGACTTGATGATAATTAATATTGTTGTTGAGGCACATAGTTTTTAATTTTTGCTTAATTCAAATTTCCATTATCAAATTTGGGCTGCTTGGTTGCAAATTCTTCAAGTATAGTGCAAGTGTTTTTTGCCTTCATCTAGGACTTCTAGGAGAAGCTATCTCTTTTTATCGAAGTGAGGCTTAGATTTTTTAATTTGGTAAATTATTTCATTTTTATCTTCTTATATAGCTGTGGCAATTGGTTTGTTTGTATGATTAGAATTTTGCTAAAATTTGCTTCTTTTGGATTATATTCTTTTGTGGTTTTCTTTTTATCTCGAATCTCATTGCTATATTGAGGTGAGAATTTTGTGTGTTTTTTAGTTAGATGAATTCTTGATTAAATTAACAATTCGCAGAATGTGATTATGAACTTATATGTATGATTTTGTGCTTCTCATCCTAGATATGCATTGTGCAACTCTAGACCTTAATACATCTTGCATCAGATTCGGTATCAGAGACCAGTTTTATCAACGTATGCTAACTAGAAGTGGGACTTGATACATGGTCAATTAACATGTTACTAAAGGGATATAATCTTCATATTTTTCAAAATTAATTAGCTAACGGATTTGTATGAGATAGCTTTGTCATAACTTTACTCTTTAGATCATTGCCACAGTTCAATTACGTCTTTCTTCTTGTTTCTTAGAAATTTTCAGGGGACGAAGCTTTTCACGACCAACCCTAATAGAGTGTGGTAGCTGCAAAAACTCTACTATCTGATTTTTCTAAAGGATAATGTTTGTAATGCGTACAACTTTAAAAAACTTAATTTTTCTCACACTAATTTTACAAATAGCTGCACGCCGCCCAAGTGAACTCTAAATTACTCCAAAATTAAAATCAAATGAATTAGAATGTAAATTTGCTTAGGAAGCGAATTGAAACTTATAAGTTAAATTAATTTGCTAAATCATAAATTTCATCTAGGTGAATATGTTGAGCTTAAAAGATAGGTAAATTTGCTTATAAAAAATTTATTATAAAGGATGAATCCTTGCATTATTCCTGCATTACGCTTAAGAAAAAGGCTAGTTCAAAGATATTTGTGGATAATAGGGAAATTAATAAAATCACTATCAAATATGAATATCCTATACTTAAATTAGATGATATGGTGAATATGATGATTGTATTTCAAAAATTAAATTGAATGCTTATCATAGAGTAATAATATAATAGAGAGATGGATAAAAAATTGCTTTTAAAATTATATGTTGTTTTGTTTGAATGGTTAGGGATATCTTTTGGATTAATTAATTTATCAACTATTTTAGTGAATCAGGTTGTTTTGCATTTCATTCAAAAATGGTTGGTTGTGTACTTTGATTATGTTCTAACTTATATTATAATTAGAGAGGATCATTCAATGCATTTAAGGAGAGTATTTGAAGAATTTCAAGTTGAAAAGTTGTTGATGAATTTACAAAATGTTGCAAGTAGAGGCTTGCAAAATCCTTTCAACAAATAGTCCATCATTTGTGATATTCGTGGGATTTGTTGTGTCAATTTATGGACTATCTATTGGTTTTTGTAAAGTTAAAGTAACTAATAGTTTGATATGATGTGGAAGTAAAAATAGCAACCAACAATATAAAAACTGCAGTAAAATCAAAACGGTGGCTGATTTTTTATTAAAACTTCAATAAGAGAAAACAAGATATAAATGATCTACAATTCGAGAGGTAGATCGGCCTCCCAATCAACCTAGATGCCGCTAGCCCACAAAACTCATCCATAGCATTACCCCAAAACCCTAGACAACTCCCCTTTAAGTAGCCCTAGAACACAATAATATAAATATAATCTTTCTAAATAATTTAAATATAATTTAGAAAACATTCCTAAATAATTAAACATAATTTAGGAAACATTCCTAAACAATTAAGCATGATTTAGAAAAACTTCCTAAACAAATTAATATAATTTAGGGAACTTTCCTAAACAATTAAAAATAATTAGGAAACATTCCTAAATAAATTAAATATAATTTAGTAAATATTCCCAAACAAATTAAACATAATTTAGGAAGCATTCCTAAACAATTAAACATGATTTAGGAATCCTTCCTAAATAATTAAACAGCTTCTTCTTAATTTCTCCTCCTCACATAATGAATAATAGCTTCTCTGGGTCCTACAAGATGAGCTCCCCATGACATATCAATTCTCCCCTCCCGAAGAGCCGCCTTGTCCTCAAGGTGAAACAAAGGGAACTGCTGCTGAAGAATAGTTTTCTAGTTGCAAAAGAAAATGGGCTGGTAGTTGTAATCTTAGAATGCATTTCTCTGTTGGATCCACGTGAAACAGCTGTAGCATGTTTGCTTCTTAAAATTCTATCAACAATTTGTTTATGTGAAACAATACAAATATTTTTCTTTCCATTTTTCTTTTATGAAGAATCTCTCAAAACTCATGTAAGCATAACTGTTACTGACTTGATTTTGAGGTATGAATTATCAAAATCTCCAGCGATGGAAGAATGTTCCATCATTTTAGAAGAAAATGCATTGACCTTAAAGTCTTAAACCCATTAACACAATGGACAACTTTCTTTTTTTCTGCACTGAGCTTATGCACTACGACTTTATGTGAACTTGAAGAATAAAATGAATCTGTTGGTACATAATTTTTAGTTTTCTTTGAAGTCTCTTCATTATCTTGGCTTATGAAGTCTTGATGCTTACCGTCTTCAATGCCTTTTTTATTTTCTTTTGAAAGATTTGCAGGTGAATCAAGTTCCGCTAATGCAGTTTTACCATCAACATCCAAGAATACTTCAGTTGAATCTTTCTCTACAGCAGGATAAATAGTTTTTATCATTTCATCCCCATCAATCTTGCTTGGTGCAACTCTCTGATCTTATCTCTACATATTATTTTCGTGATTTCCCCTTATTTTTGACGGAGCTTTCTTAGCTTTATTCTTTAACATCTTTTTCATCATCTCTTCGAGATTTCCAAACTTTCCTTCAATCGCTAAAAGATGCTCATTCAACGATCTCATATCCGTTTGCTGTTGCCCTACTTCCCCCTCCAACCTTTCTTCCCACTCATCAACTCTTTTCTCGGCCATCGGCCCCAAGAAATTGCTCTGGTACTAATTTGATACGCCTTAGAAGAAAAAACAACAAATAATAATATAAAACTATAGTAAAACCAAAATGATGGCTGATTTTTTATTAAAACTTCAATAAGAGAAAACAAGATACAAATGATCTACAATTCGAGAGATAGATCGGCTCTCACAATCAATCTAGACACCACTAGGAAGCCCTTAAAGAAAAGAACTACATTAAACACTCTCAAAACTCATCAATAGCATGATCCTAAAACCCTAGAACACAATAACATAAATAAAACCTTCCTAAATAATTTAAATATAATTTAAAAAACCTTCCTAAACTATTAAACATAATTTAGAAAATATTTCTAAACAATTAAACATGATTTAGAAAACATTTCTAAATAGCAATTAAAAATAATTTAGGAAACCCTCCTAAACAATTAAACATGATTTAGAAAATCTTTCTACATAATTAAACAGCTTCTCCTTGATTTCTCCTCACATAATGAATAATAATTTCCTTGGTTCCACAAGGTGGGCTCCCCCTGGTGTATCATAGTTGGTCAAGGCCTAGTGTTATTCATGAGACTCAAAGTTTTATCGGTTCACTTTTTTAGATGATTCATTCAAAAATTAGAAGTGTAATGAAACCAATTTCAATTTATCTAAAAGAGAGAGTTTAGGATAGGAACTTAGAATGTAGGTTCTCTTACAAACAAATTAATTGAATTAATTGATAGTATGATCAAGGAAGATAATATTCTATACATTCAAGAAATTAAATGGGTTGGAGAGAAGACTATGGAGATTGATAATTTAAAATTTAAATCATGATATTCAGGTAATGTACTAGAAATGTTGTTGTGATTATAGATAAGAGTGTGAAGGATACTACGTTGAAGCTGTGAATTCAAAGTTGGTGTGATTATAGAAATCTTTCCTAATTTTGATACTTTTTTCTTTCCTTGCCTTTGTTTCATTAATTCTCCATCATTAACTATGTTGAACCCGTGAATTCAAAGTTGCCTCTTTCTTGCAGCAGCAGGTGTGTAACACCTCATCATAATATAGTGTTTGGATATGTCGAACAAGGAAGACAAAACACAAGCTGCAGCGGCACTTTTCGCTGCCAAGGGCATGAGCCGAGCCCAGGCTGAGCGTGCTGCTGCTGCTCAGGCACGAAATGTGAATGCCTATGGACAGAAGGAAGAAGGGCCTAGCCGTTGGCAGGAGAGGAAAGAAGCCAAGCGGCAAATGTATCTAATGAGCACTGAGAAAGCCGTGAGATTGGGTGAAAGAAAGGATGTAAAGTCTTCTGTTTCTTCTTTAGGGGGCGCTTCTGCTCAGTGCCAGAAATGCTTCCAGTTTGGTCATTGGACTTATGAATGCAAGAATGAGCGTGTTTACATGTCTCGCCCTTCAAGAACCCAACAGCTTAAGAACCCAAAGTTAAAGATGAAACTTACAGTTTCTTATGAATTGGATGGTCCTGAGATTACCAAGGAAGAGAAGGATAAGAGAAGCCAGAAGAAAGATAAGGGTGAACCAAGTGGTACAAAGAGCAAAAGGAAGCATCGTTCTCCTTCTGATTCAGATGAGGATCACAGTGAGGCATCTGTTTTTGACACTGATGGTGAGTCTTCTGTCACAGGGTCATATTCTTCATCTGCTGAGAGCAGTTCAAGCTACACTTCGTCAGATTCGGATGAGGAAAGAAGGAGACGGAGGAGGAAACGGAAGCAAAAGAAGAGGAGGCATCGAAGAAATAGCTCATCTTCTGATTCGTCTGATTCTGCATCAGCTTCTGACAGCGATTCTGATGACAGGGGCAGTCGGAGGAAGACCAGAAGGCATAGTAAGAGGTATTAGCTGAAACTCAGAAAAGAATTTCCACATATTATCTTATCCAAGGACTAGAGTCGTGATTTTGATTCAGTTTGGTTTAAATACTGTTGTTGAGCATTTGTTTCCTGGCTTGGTCATACGTTAAGGTATGCTTTTCTGTCTTATTCAAACACGTAATGTTGCCAAATTTGTTAGGTTTTTCATACACTACGACATTCCTTGTTTGCAACTTCAAACTTAAACCTGATTTAGGCTTCGTTTGAGACGGTTTATTACTGCTTAAAGCAACTTTGTAGTACAAAGAAGCAGTAAGAAAGCTGTCCCCAACGAAAACCGTAAGAAGCAAGAAGAAAGCCGTCCCAAATGAAGTCTTAGTTTTGGCTAATTTTGAGGTCGTGTTGCCTAGCCATTTAAGGGGTAGTTTTGGGAATATTTTTAATGCATTTCAATATTATTTTAAGGGATATTTGAGTCTATAAATTCCTCATAACATTGAAGACAAAAATACTAATGGATTTATAAGAACTCAAAGCATTTATGATAAATTATTTTAAATGGTTTTATGAAGTAGCAGAAGGAAATCAATGATAAATCCTTTGAAACTTCATCCATTTGGCAATATTTTTCCTCCAAGTTTTGTAGGATTATTAAAAAATATTGTCAGGGTATTTGATACTATCTTTTTAGTTTTGTATCATTAGTAGGAAATTGTTCTATTGTCACCACCAATGTTCCAATAGACTCATTTACTTGTGCATAACTCTCAATTGCTTTCACATTTAGCATATTCTCTGCTTCACTTAGTGTGCATTTAGTACTTGTAGAATTGATATTAAGGCTTCAGTTGGAATAACTTTTTTAGTAAAAAAAATTTTAATTCAAGAAACTTTTGTACTAAAAAGTTATTTTATAAAACAGTTAGAAAATTGTCTCAAATGAAACTTAAATCTTCTATGGTTGATTAACTTATTTTAATTTTTCTTGATACTTATAACTAATTCAGTTGGTTATTTAGAATATGCCTTAATTAGATTTGTGTAATAATTTTTTTATGATTTAATTATTTGATTTTGAATGTACATATAATAATTATTTGTATAAATTATGATTTATGCTAGTGAAATCACTACAGTTATGCCAGATCTTGTCAAGTTTCTCTTTGCCAAATCCTTAAAATAAAAAACCTCACTCCTCTTAGGCTTGGTTTGGTTGTGTGTAATTAGTGTCATTTTTTTCTGAAATGTGAAAAAAGATGTCGGTTGCTGTTTGGATGCATACCTTTTACAAAATTATATTTTTTAAGCCTTCATTATCATATCGATTTGTGAAGCTTTTTATTTTTTGCTTCTCTTCTGATAAAAGGAACTTTTTATTTCGTCCGGTGAACGTACGCAACTCTACGTTCGGCCGCCAGTAGAATTGTGCCACGCGTTCTCATTATTTACCGTGCGCCCCGACAACCCGACCTGGAACGGATCCAAGATTGCTCGGTATTGCTTGGTATTGGTCGATTTTGCTCGGCAATAACCAATACCGAGCAATACCGAGCAAATACCGAGTTGTACCGAGTGCTGAGCAAATCCCTAGCAATACCGAGCAAATACTGAGTTGTACTGAGTTGTACCGAGTTGTAAAAAAAATCGGTACAACTTGGTATTTGCATGGTATTGGTCTTCACAGAGCGGTATTTCTCATTTTTTGCAAAGCAATACCTAGCAAATACCGAGAAAATCGCGAACATAGCATTTCCGGGTTTCGCTCCGGGTTAAGTTGTCGGGCCGCACGGTAAAGAGTAAGAGCATGTGGCGACATGTTATTGGCGGCCGAACGTAGCTCTACGTCCGGTCAGAGGACGCAATAATTGTTCTGATAAAAGACAGTTTTAGAACCACCATTTTTCACCAAAACTCTTGCTACCAAATGGAGCCTAAGATATTATCAACTTATTTATTTGTGTCTATGGGATTTTCATGTAATATTAAGACATTAAATATTATCTCGATTGTCTTGAATATTCCATTATGCAATGAAATTATATAACATTACATTAAACTATGCTATTATATTATAATATTGTATTATATTGTTAGATTATACTACTACTTGCTATAGTATATTATAACATATAGTTAAATAAATATATTTTTGCAACCCTCTAAAAAAATGAATTGACAAATTATAAAGTTTTAGATTGGAAGTCGATTAGTATAAGAAATGATGCCCACATAATTGAATCTCTTCAGTGTAGATTATACATCAAATTCTGATAAAATTACAAAGTAACTCAGAATGGAGAAGATAAAGGCTCTCTTGCATTCCTCATATAGTCCAATCCCTTAGATTTGGTAGAATTCACTGAAGCATTTCTCCATCGCTTGATAGAAACTTCAGGAAATCGCTCTTTTTTCCTCTCTCCGGCAGTATTGCCATCCTTCTTTCCCTGAAAAATAAGCCAAAATTCAAGCTTTTGCACTGCCCTTTCAACTTAACAGAATCAGGAGTAGAAGCTTTGCATGAACTGACCTCACTGTAAATTATGTAAATGGTAGATTAAAAACGAACTTACCTTGCTAAAAATAAGAGAAGCTTCTTCAGGATCCCTATTTAAGAATATTTCAACTGCTTCCTCCTGCAAAGAGTCATTAGTGAGCACAATAACATAATTTTTTAAGTTCTTAGGGCATCTCCAACCGAAAAACTCATTTTCCACTCTAAAATGCAGTAAAATTTCAAAATGCCGCAATTCATCTACATTCGAACTTCATTTCTTTCTCGCGCTTTCTGGGAAGGTAACAATCTCTCTCCTCTTTTGCGCTCGTCTTCGGCAAATTCGGCAACACAATTTTTTGGCGTAGGTGAACAATCCAACGCCAATATTAGCATCGCGCTGTTCATGGCGTGAGATTTGGAGTTCGAATGCAGCGAATTGCGAACTGCATAGAGATGGTCTTAGGAAATTGGGAATGGGATGCCACCAATAAAAATCGTGATTGAGATCTAAAAAAGTAAAATTGTAAGAAATTATCTCAAATAAAAATAAAACGTTAGTTGTTCTGCTACTTTTAGATTAAATAAATATCAATAATTTACCCTGGCATTGCTGATTTTTCCTCCACTCAGAGTTCTTGGCTCCATTTCAATGGAGCAGCCTAAGCTTTCCATTTCTTCCTTCCTCATTTCTTTGATTAATTGTTGCAGACTTATTTATAGCCTTCTGATCGCTGACTCTCTCTCTCTCTCTCATTTGAAGATATAAAAGAGAAAATAATAGAAAAGGACTGTGGAGTCTTTCAATCTTTCATTTGAAGCTCATGACCAGAGCCTTACTTTAACCGACTATTGCTGCAAGTTGGGCTTTGGCAATTTGGCTCGTGACCATTTCTTCTAAATTATGATTTTGACGAAGTAGAAGCTGACATCTGTTTGGCTATGAGTTGTCTAACGTTTTGGCCGCCAAATTTTTCCCATTAACTTAACCACATACATATCTATCTAGACAATGGTTGGAATCTAAATGCTATTATTATAGTTCTTACATTTTAAATAATTATTAATATTTTGATCAAGATTGAATACTTGGTTATGTATTCTATTCTTCTTAAAATAAATCTAATAACTTTAAATTTTATGACTATGGGTGTTAATATTTGACATGACCAAAAACCCGATTTGAACTCGCCCGAAAATTTCAGGTTAGGGTCAACCCGAACCCAAAATGGGTCTAATTCGGGTTCAACAAATTGACCCGTTTAAAAAACTGGGTTGGGCTCGAGTTGACCTAGAAATTTGAAATTGACTTGTTTTTAACCAGAAAACCCATTTTGACCCATAAACCTGAGATTGGCCCATTTTTTACTTGAAAATCGGAGATTGACCCATTTTTTACCAAAAAAACTAGTAATTTTTGGTCGACCCCGGGTCATTCGGGTTGTGTCAGGTTAACTCGTACCTGAAGCGTGTTGGATTCCGGTTGACCCGAATAGTTTAGGCTTAGTTCTGGATCCGACCTGAACTCGACTCATGATTTGAAATGACACCCCTATTTATGACACAAGGAGGACGAAAATGTAGCAAGCAAACTACAACAATGAAATAGAAGCAACACAAAAATGGCATTAAAAAAGAAAACATTGCATAAAAAATGGTCGAAGAAGTTGATGATTAAGTAATCTCCAACAGCAGCATCAAGTCTTTATCCTACCACGTGATTGACTATATGAATCATTTTTCTCCATTGTGTCATGTTAAGAGTTAGATTCTCATTTACATCTAATAAAAAAAAGTTTTTTCTAATTTTTTCTAACCATATCTTTTTAGATCTACCTCTAACATTTTTAACATATGCCAACTCTAATTCATCTAATCTCCTAACTAAGTCATGGGAATGTCGGTGTTTTATATGATCAAATCATCTAAGGCGGCTCTCTGCCAACGAAGATACTCCAACCTTAAGTAAGCTTCAATAAAACTAAAAATTATTTTAATTTCCTCAAAACAAATATTAGTCTCTACAATGTTCGGGCTTTCTATGACGGGCTTTTATATTGTAGAATAGGCCGATCTTTGACCGCTGAAATTAAAAGCATAACAGCTGTTTACATAGGACGGCCCATATGGCCCATATCATAACTAGTCTCTCACATTGTACAAAGTAAGGCCTTAAGCTAAGGTAAAAGATGTATGTATTCAGTGTGTCATACACATATAATACCCATAGCCTATACATCATTTCACCAAAAAATAAAGTGCATATTTTACACACGTTTGGGACGGCTGCAACTTTGTATAAAAGTGATTATTTTATAATGTTGTGTAGAAAATAATTTTTTTAAGCAGGTATAAAAAATAACTTTCTAGTACAAAAATTTCTTAAAAACGGCAAAAACATAATAGCCAAATAAAAATTATGATTGCAGTATGAAAAACAAAGCAGTAAGAAAGATATCACAAAGGAAGTCTTAGACTTTATTTGAGACAACTTTCTTACTGCTTCTTAAAGCATGTTTCCAGTACAAATGTCTTTCATTGCAAAATTTTTCTAAGTCATCCTTTAATTTGAATCAACTACTTGACCCTATGAGCTATTTGATCAGTCTTAAGCTTATAAAAAATCTGATAATGACTTAATATCTACTTAGTGTTAGTTGCTACAAAGCTCACGAGCAAAGCTTTGATTAGTGATCGAAGTTCAAATATATATGGCGTTAAAAACAGGTAAGAAGTTGTATATATTGGACCACCTATCACTTACTAGCTTAACACGGATGCCTTGTGCCTTGATACACTTCTCTCATATTTTATTAGCTTTAATTATTTTGGTTAATGGTTGTTCTTCATTGATTAATATATATTTGTCTTAATTTTAACTCTTAGATTTACACTTTTAATTAATAAGTGATATCATAATCGAAAATTTTGTTACGGTTTGTAATTGTAACGTGTAAGATTTTAAAGCGAGTTAAGCTTCACTTGGAACAATTTTTTTAATGTTTTGTAAAGCAGTTTTTAATACAAATTTTTTTTAAAATTAGAAAATTTAATTCTAAATATCTACTTTAAAAAGTAAAAAAAGAAAAAAAAAAAACTATCACAAACGAAGCCTTATTCTTAAACAATTGTTTTAATGAAGCTCCCGATATTTGATACTTGATTTGTATTGAAATTTTTATTTGAAGAGAATTATGTGCTATTGAATGACATTAGAGAGCCCTATAATTTATATGATGAAAGATTTTTTTTATATATAAATAAAAGTGAAGAATATTTCTATTTTGTAAATGTTTTAAGAGTACTTGATTAAGGTTTCATTTAGGATAACTTTTTTATTGCTTCTTAAAATAATTTTTTCTTGCAAAAATTAAAATTTTTTATCAAAAATTTATTTTAATTAGCAGTAAGAAAGTTGTCCCAAACCAAACCTAAATAACTAAGAATTTCTTATAGTTTTCTTATACTATAAGAAATTCTTTTCAATAAAATTTTGCTAACAAACGCAAGTTGTATAGGCTATAACATATAGATGGTCCTTAATTTCAACCAAGTGATCATTTAATTAATGCAGGCCTTTTGGGCAGCTTTAATTACAAAGTCTTTCTTGTTGAAGTTAAGGGGTGGGGTGTGGCCTTCTTTATGCTCATCGACATACTTGTAGAGCTGTAGTTGAAGAATTTCGACCGTTGGACTCATTTTATTCGAATTTCAGCCACTCAAAACGGATCAGACGGTTGGGATTCTTCCAACCTCACATTTATGGTTGGCGCCGTAAATCTTACTAGATCTACAACTTTGTGATATTTATTTGATTAAAGTTCAATATATAATAAATTATAGCACGATTTATAAAGCTTAATATATATATATGAATTGATAAGGGCATCTCCAACCGAAAAATCTATTTTTCACTCCAAAATATAATAAAATTTCAAAATTCAGTCATTCTTCTTCAATCGAATGTCATTCCTTCTTCTTTCGCGCGCTTCCTGCTAAGGTAACCATATTTGATGCACTTTTCTCACTTTCGCGCGCTTCTTCGACAAATCCCGCAGCAAATTTTTTTTTGCGTAGGTGAATAGTCCGATGCTAATATTGACGTCACATTGTTCACCTACCGGAATTTGACGTGTGATCTGGAGTTCGAATGAAGCAAATGGATGATGACATACGATGATATAGAGTTCAGTTGGAGATGGCCTAAACTAAACCTTGTTGATTTTTTTCTTTTTATTTGTGAATATACTGAATACATCAAATTTCTGCAACTGCTACAACTTGGCATGAACTTTTGACGAACTAAATATCAATTTAAGAACATGAAAGTTCATCTTCATCACTTTCCATCTCTCTCTCTTTCTTCTCGTGGCCTACAACCCTAAACCAGCTTCTTGATCAGTAGGCTGAATTTTCCTCTTGAAAATGATAATATAAAGAGCTGTAGATCACCATAACTACACAAGTTCGGGAAGATAAATGCAAGTCTTTGCAAGATCATGCTGCTAGACTTGGTTAGAGGAAGTTCTTTCTGTCTGATTCAAGCTGCCATGCAACCCTTAGTTACTTTAGCATTTAAAAGATCTCTTCTTCCACCTAAGGTAAACGTACAGTCCTCATTATCATCTTCTCTTGCATCAAATTATTGTGGTTGAAGATAATATAGCAAATAAATTTTAATTAAAAAGAAAATATAATTTTTAAAAATCAAAATCATAGATCAGAACAATCAGTTGTTAAATATATTTAAATGCAAATATATATAATCCCTTTAGAAGGATCAAATACTCCGACGAGCTTACTCCGACGCCGCTGCCGAAGCAGCGGGTAACAAAAATGTCGAAACCAGACGAGCAGAGTGCGAATGCTGTGGAATGAAGGAGGAATACACGCCGGCTTACATCGCCGGAGTCCAGGAATTGTTCTGCGGGAGCTGGGTCTGTGGCCTCTGCGCCGAGGCCGTCAAGGAAAACATGAAAAGGCTGCCTCCGTCTCCGGCGTCGGCCGAACTCCGGCGGGCACTGGACTCTCACATGGAATTTTGTAAGAAGTTCAACGGGACAACAAGGCTTAATCCCAAGCTGTCCTTTGCCGGAGCCATGAGAGAGATAGCGAGGAAAAGCTCGCTGCATCGGAGCTCCGGCGGCAGAGGTGGCGGCGGGATTGCTAGGACTAGGAGTTGTGGGCCATTTATGGATGTTAAATTTGACTCAAACGTCTAGTAGTTTATAGTGATGTAACGTTGTCAATTTGTAGTTTAAATGTTTTAAACTATTTGATCTCTAGAGATAGAATGAACTTTCTAATCTGTTGTAGTTGTGTAATTAAAGTTTCGTTTGGGACTGTTTTTTTACTGCTTCTTGAAACAGTTTTCTAGTAAAAAAAATTAATATTTATACTAAAAACTTGCTTTGAGAAGCAGTAAAAAAGTTGTTCCAAACAAAACCTAAGTTGTTATAATTGTAGTCCTATTTGATCTATCTAATTATTGTTAGGATTGTAATTAGCTTAATTAACACAAAAATTTGGCATCATAAGAAAATTCATCGGATCAAGAAAGAATATATAGATGCAATTATTGAATAAGAAACTTTTGAAATTAAATTCAGGACAATCTGAATTCCGATTTCAACAAATTCATAGTTGTATAGAAGATCTACATGAGAGAGTTCAATGACTCTAAAAACATTCCAATTCTACTCCAAATGAGTTCAAATCAGGCATTTGAACCATAGTAGGAAATTTTGTGATATTAGTTTGGAAATAAAATGATCTTCAAATATTTCATCCCTTACCATTGTTGAAATGTATCGTCGACACTAACATCGATACTAGCTGATTTTGTCACATGCTATCCCTAATAATAGTGGTGCATGCCATCACCAATAAGGCTAATTCATGCTAACTACATCAACTTTGACTTTTGATGTCAACATCAAAATTTATATGAGATTTCCTAGTCATTAGTCTCCTCTCTCCTAAAGAAAATTATCGAACATATCATGAATACTCTCTCTAAAATAGCTCCCATGCCTTAAGATTCTTCCAAGTTTCACCATAGAATCTATGCTCCACAATTCATACTACTACATTGTATGCCGAAGGGTGCATTTGTAATCAACAAAATACATGAATTTTTTTTTTCTGGATCATGACCTTTAATTTTTATTTTCTTGATTTTCACATAAAAACTCTAATGTCTCATGTAAAATTCATCTTTTATATATGTATATGACGGGTCTTAATACAAAATTAAGATATTAACATCTCACTTTATTCTCATGAATATTCTAACAGTTAGTAATATTATTTTTATTGCCTAAACGAGAAATGTCCTTTTGAATTGGAAAAAGAAAGATCAATGCTAGCTAGCATGATTTGGTCATCCAACAAAAAAATAGAGTATTTAATTAATGGAGCACCCCTTAAATCAAATATCATTTTCCTAGTCAACTTTCATCACATTTTTAAATAAGATTTCTTTCATCTTTGAGTCCAGAAAGTATTATTCCTTTTGTATAAAAGTATATCGAGCTCAATAGAAGGATGTAGAAGAGATACTTAAACTTGTGCTAAAGCATTTGAGCAAAGGATCTTAATTCTTTCCACAAGGTGGTCATTGTGCTGAAATTTTTGGCCCAATTGGAACTATAAGAATATACACACCCACTAAAGAGGTGCCAAGTTGAATTAAGGATGTTTCAGGCTCTTTAACTTTACACATTTAGTTCAGAGTGAGATATAGGAGAGTCTTATCCTTTCCCAATAGGAAATTTTTCAATTGAGATGTGTACGTCAGGCTAAGATGATTTTTTATGACGTATCAATAAGTATCCTATACACAACAGATACAACGATCATAACATGTAAATCTATCTAAGATGCACATCAATATGCATGTATTATGCCAAAATGTATATTATATTAAATGAAAAGTAATCATATGTACATAATGTATTTCATATCTAGATTTAATACATTAGTACATGATCATTTTCAATATTTTCATATTTTTTTTGTTCTATTAAAATGCCATATAAGTCATGTCACATGATGCAATTTCAATCAAAACAAGTCAAAACATTCAGAATAACTTACTATGATTAAAGTAATTTTCGCAATAGAAGCGACTGATGAAAAAGTCCTGGAAGACATTTTCTCTCATCTCTCCCTTCTCTTCTGCTTCTCATATCTTTGCTTCCCTGGCAAGGTAACGAAATGAGGGGGAGGGATTGTTTCAGTTGAGAGATATTTATATTAAATATATTAAAAAATATGGAATCTGTTATATGAATCATTTTTTTATAATATATCTGATATATTAAGAGTCAAATTTTTATTTAAAGATGATAAAAAAATATCACTGTGAATACTTTATGTTCATTTATAGGATGTTACAATAAAAAATTAATAAATAAATAAGAATATTATTTTAATTATAAGAATACAAAAATATATTTTATAATGCGGTCACTTTCACGTATTACTAAAAAACAATGAAAAAATAAAAAAAAAATATATCCAAATAAAATTATAATTATTATCTAAAAGGAAAAACAACGAAAAAGTACTACCAAGATCCTAAACATCCCAATACTATCTAATATCAAGATTCCAACTTTATTACAGAATATGACGAAGATGGAATAAACTTTAGCTGAATTATGAAGCAGAATAATTATATTTCAGGCATCTGATCAGTTGTTTTGATATGATTTTATTAAAAAAAATGTTTTCCACAACAAAGCAATACATCAAATTATTCATGAATAGACTACTGAAACAATGATATTAAATTATCCTCCTCGCCTGCTGTCAATCCTGAACTTTTATTTGGTCCGGTGAACGGACATAAAGCTACATTCGACCGGCACTCAGATTACGCCACGTAGCAGGCACAAAACCGCTGACCTGACCCGGCGAATAGTTGGTATGTCGCACATGCGTTTTTTAAATCCATGACAACCCGATATTGCTAAGTAATGCTCAGTATTGCTAGGTATTTGTTGATTTTGCTCAGCAATAACGAGAAATACCATTATGTGAAGACAAGTACCGAGCAATACCGAGTTTTTTTAGAAAAACTCAGTATTGGTCTTCACAGAGTGGTATTTCTCGTTATTGCCAAGCAATACCGAGCAATACCAAGCAAATA